AGAGTTAATGTGGGTCACAGATTTAAAATAAGCTTTGAAACAAATAAAAATCTGAAATTCCACAGTAATTGGGATTTGATATTGGCCTTTAGACTCAGAATTTAATCAACAGTTGACACCCCCGACCTGGAGTGTGTAGCGAGTAGTTGTTTCCATTACTCGCTCTTACGTGGCAGACCCAGAATTTTGTTATCCATTCAAATATGCAGATGTGAAGAACTCCCTCTTATTATGTAACATAAATTTTCATAAGACAGATCAAATCTCTTGTTTAATCATGGTTCACCTGGTTTAAAAAAATTACACAGTTCTTCCTTTGTATGTTTTAAGCCAAGGGGACTGTTAAGAAGTCATAATAGAAGGTTATGGTTAGCTGAATAGCCAATCACAATTTGTCTTCAATAAGTTCACCAGTAATTGTACCACACACTGATCAAAAAGATTTGGACAAATAAAAGTATTCTCTTTTTACTCTGTGTTGATGTTTTCTTTGCAAGTTAAGCAAAAATGTATTGATTAATCTTCCTGCTTATGAGTACTGTAGCTACTACTGGCTTGATGGCAATCTTAGCTTGCACAGAAATTGCCCCTTAAGACTGAGCATTATTCAGGGGAGCTGCCTTCCACTGTGCTCATGTTCTTTAACCCCAGGTTTTTCTTTTTTTCCCTGTTCCCTCCCCCACTCCCCTTCACCCTCTTTCCCATCTCCACAGCAGCTATCTCAGGGGCTGATGGCCAAGGGGCTGATGTCTTTGCCCATTCCCTCATCTCGCTGATCACAATTAGTGCCACCTAGTATAGAAAATGAAAGACCTTGCTCTCCCTATTTACAGGTTACTTTCAGAAATGGTACATATTGTTTAATTCTTCAAATACAGTAGAGATCAGACTAGTGGTTCAGACTTCACTGCTAAAGTTCAAGGATAACAAAGAAAACAAATAACATGGTAATTTATAAATGTGTTAAGGAAATCTCAGATCCTGAAGGCTTAAGTGTATTCACAGGGTCTTCTAGTTCTTAGCTGTTTTAGAATGCTGGGGACAGCTTACCCTCTATCAAGTGGAGTGGTTCCAGCATCTCACTGCCTCTGTGTTATGGCCCAGATTTCAGAGGACCATGCTCAGAGACCTTGATCTCTCCTTATGTTGACATGATTTGTACTGTTAAGTTTCCATACTCCAGAGCGTCCCCTTCCTTGTAGTCTCACAACTATATAACCATACCTGCTTGTATCCACAACCACAAGGCTGAGGTCCTGTCCCATGTACATAACTGAGCCCAGTGCATTCTAGATCATCTGTCCTTGATTTAATCACCTGCCTGTTCCAATGTGTTTCACTTCCCTTTTAATAGATGTAAAGTGATTTTTATGCTGTTATTTCCAGATTTCCTGCAAACAACTGGTCAAAGAAGCAATGATTTTCAGTCATAGAACATTCTCTGGAAGTAATAGTTCGCCATACCATTTTAACACATTTTATAGAGTATTCACTCATTGAAGAGGTACAGCCAACTTCTTTAACCACTGAGATTACTACACCCCTTCGGAAATATCTGCATCAGGTTGTTCTACTGCTTTTAGGTCTTAAAGAATGGGCAATTGTTTGCTTCCTATTAATCTACTGTAACTAATAGGGCCAATGTCTTCACCCATGGGTACAGAAAGTTGTAATGCAAATTTAAATAAAAGCTTAGCACCTACTCAAGGCATCTACCAAGTATCATTTATGAGCTGCATATGATGAGCCCACCTATGTCTAAAAGTATGCAGAGTTTTAAAGCTTATTCAACTTTTTGTCTACTAAAGAAATGGGAGTACGTATTTTTTAATGATTTATTTAATATGGAAATTTTAGAAATTCAATGTAAATGCTCTTAACTGAACTTTGGCTGGCTGTCAAAATAATTGGAGTGACAGTGAAAATTTCTAGCATTGGTGCATCTATTTATTATATTGGTGCATTATATTTATTATACATAATATATATTATATATATTTGGTATATTATACTTACTAAATATACTTATTTGGAACTTGGTGGAACTTGTGTAATAAAAGACGTTTTAAAAAATATATATCCTTTCTTTAAAACACCTAAACAAATGGTGAAATTGCATCATATTGGGGAGAGGTAGGAAATCACAGTAGAACAAATGTCAGTGTGTGTGGATTGACAGATATTGTTTATGCCTCCTTTCCTCCCTTTTCTTCTTTCCTTCTTCTTCATCTCATGCAAATTGTCCCCCACCCCAACTCTTAGTTCTCTCTATTTTTTGGTGTATTGTGACATGGGCTTTCTTTAATCTTTCTATAATAACTTGATGACCTTCATGTCCAAAAATATGTATTTGTAAGATGGTTGGCCATAGATAATGCATGGTTTCTGGCAATGAAAGAACTACTTAATCTGTAGAGAAAGAAAGAAATATGACTCTGGCTTTATTTAGTATAATGCCGTAACCACACTGAAAAAGACCATGTCTCTTGTTGATTACAGCAAAAGATTTACCTCCTGCGCCACTTAAACTGACCTTTGAAAATAAATGATAAATTTATCTTATTAAGTAAAAATACAGAATATTTATCAACAAATGGGAGAGCAGACACATATGGTTTTATTTCTCATCTCTGGAATACTGCTGAGTTTCAAGTCATTTGTATATAAAAAAGAGACAGAGTAAGGGGTAGATGTATATATTTATTATACTTTTTTTAATGGTGGCTAGAAGTAGTTTAGTAATTTTATTGATCTTAAACTTAAGATATTTTCTAAAGTATTCAATGTTTATCAGTACTTTTTTCTTCGCTTTCCTTGACTACGCATGCACCTAGGTTGCTGATGAGCCCATTGATTTGGTCATTAATATATTACAGTTTTCACTGAGCAACATTGTCTCACAGCCACACTTTGCAAATCCAAATCTCAGCACCATTCTGTGCCACTTGGTAAACTGTGTTCTGGGGTGGTAAAGCAGGGCAGTCATTCACTATTGTAAACAAAGGAAAACTGTGTGTTTTCTAATCCCATTATTATCCTATTCTTACTTTACTTGGGGATTTAAAAGTACCCAATTTTGAGCGAGACATTCTACTACTAGAAACTGTTCCAGATTTTGTGAAATGCTTAGTCCTTTTGACGCTCTCCTTACATTCCAGTGAACTTGAATTCATAATATAGTACCAAATAAGCATAGAGAGGAGACTAGTCTGTATTAGGAAATTAAACAAAAAATCATTTGCTTTTGCTTGACAGTTTTGACTTAGGCTTTTACTTCATCTCTTCTTTTTCCTTTTTCTTCCAACTCATTTATAGAAGATCTACAGAAGACTGTTTAATTCCCTCAGAATCCTTTAAAAGAATGAAACTAGATCTTAAATATATTAAAAATACTTTGATTTATTCTGCTGTAAAATTAATTCTCTTTGTGGTCAGCTATTTTACAGTACCTTGGCATGGGGATATATAACATATTTTATAAATATACTTATTTGGAACTTGATTTATTTTTTGGCTCATATATTTGAGCCCATAGAATATCTCATTTGGGTCCCAATGCCAAATTCATGTCATCCACAGAAAACAATGGTGTTCATTTTTTGATTAGAATATTGGAGTCACTTGTTTAGTATTTTTTCAACAATTAAGATTTTCACCTAGTCATGAAAGCTAGCTGGCATCAACCTTGAAATTTTAAAAGAAAGCTTGATTTTTGACAGTCATTTATTTTTTGAAGTAGAATTTAATCTTTTTCTTGAGAATTTTAGAGCATTTGAGATGGGTGACTGAAGTCATTAAATAAGAGAAGATAAATTCAGTCTGACAGTTTAAGATGGCACAGTATTTATGTACTAAAGCATATTGGTGAATTATATATAATTACCCAGTGAATTGGGAAACTATGTAAGTAGTTAGATATAATTATTCAGTCTGACATGAATTTTTCCCTTCATTTGTATATGTAGAGAGAGACAAAACTTTGTGGATGATTGGATGATTGTAAATTCTTACTTAAATTCATCATATTTCCTGAATTTTAAAAAGTCAATATATTTTTTCCAAATGTCCTAACTTGCATAAAGTAAGAAAAGGGGGAACCCCAAACTGTACACACGCACACACTTTAAAAAATATTTATTTTCAATTACAGTATACATTCAATATTATCTTGTATTTCAGGTATATAGCATAGTGGTCAGGTAATCATGTACTATACAAAGTGTTCCCCCCAATATTTCCAGTGCCCACCTGCACTGTACATAGTTATTCTATATTATTGACTATGTTTCCTATGCTGTATTTTGTATCTTTGTGACTATTTTGTAACTACCAATTTTTATTTCTTAATCCTTTCACTCCTACACCTCTTTCATGTAGTCCCTAAACCCACCTTCCCCTCTGACTACCATCAGTTTTTTTCTCTGTATCTATGAATCTGTTTCAATTTTGTTTGTTCACTCTCTTATTTAGATTCCACATACACCATATTTTTCAGACTATAAGGCACATTCCCCTACCCCCCAATTTGGGAGGAATTATGATTGTTAATGCTGCTGTTGAGTTCAGTTTACATTTATATTGGTGAAATATTATGTTATGTATGTTATTAAATATTTTACCATGTTTTTTGCTTCAAAATTTTTTTTCCTATTTTCCTCTAAAACCTAGGTGTGTCTTATGGTCCAAAAATACAGGTAAGTGAAATCATATGGCATTTGTCTTCCTATGACAAATTTTTCTCTTAGCATTATACCCTCTAAGTCCATCCATGCTGTTGCAAATGGTAAGATTTTATTCTTTATTATGGTCCAGTAATATTCCATTGTCTATTTGTACCACCACTTATTTATTATTTATTTCTTATTTTTAAAGACTTTATACTTTTTACATAAAAGTGAAAGGAGGGAGAAAGAAAGGGTGGAAACCATCATTATGAGAGAAAAAAATTGATTGCCTTTAGTACATGTCCCAGCCTGGAGGGAAGCCACAGCCCAATCATGTGCCCTGACCAGGAATTGAACCAGGGACCTTTTGCTTTGCAGGCCAATGCTCAACCAACTGAGCCATACCAGTCAAGGCTACCACCACTTTTTTATCCACTTGTCTGTTGATGGGCACTTGGGTTGCCTTAATAGTTTGGCTATTGTAAATAATGCTGCAATGAACATAGGGTTGTATATATTCTTTCAAATTAGTGCTTTAGGTTTCTTCAGATGTATACCCAGAAGTAGAATTGCTGGGTCATAAGGCATTTCTAGTTTTAATTTTTTGAGGACCCTCTGTTGTGTTTTCCATATGGGGTGTACCAATCTGCAGTCTCACCAACAATGTGGAGCTATTCCCTTTTCTCCCTATTCCTACTAACACTTGTCATTTGTGGACTTATGATAACCATTCTTTTTCTTTTACATATATTTTATTGAGTATGCCATTACAGTTGTCCCAGTTTTTCCCCCTTTGCCCACCTCTGCCTGGTACCCACCCCATTCCCTCCAGTTATACCCTCTCTTAGTTCATGTCCGTGGGTCGTGCATGTAAGTTCTTTGGCTTCTCCATTCCTTATACTATTCTTACGCCCCGTCTATTTTGTACCTACCTATGTGTACTTCTTAATCCCTGCACCATTTCCCTCCTTCCTCCTTTCCCCTGCCCAGCTGCTAATCCTCCAAATGATATCCATAGCTATGATTATGTTTCTACTCTGTTTACTTTGTTTTTTAGATTTAGTTGTTGATAGCTGTGAATCTGTTCCCTCCTTATGTTCATAGTTTTGATCTTATTTTTCTTACACAGTTCACTTTAACATTTCATATAATAATGGCTTGGTGAAGATGAACTCCTTTAGCTCTGCTTTGGGAAGCACTTTATTTGCCCTTCGATTCTAAAAGATAACTTTGCTGGTTACAGTAATCTAGGTTGTAGGTTCTTGCTTTTCATGATTTGAACACTTCTTTCATCCCCTTCTCACCTGCAAGTGTGTGTGTTTGTTTTTTTTGTTTGTTTTTTTTTTTTTTTTAGAAATCAGCTGATAGTCTAATCGGAACTTCTTTGCCAGCAACTCTCTGCTTTTCTCTTGATGCTTTTAAGATTATTTCTTTATCTCTTGGCATTTTAATTATGATGTGTCTTGGTGTGTTTCTCTTTGGGTTCAACTTGTTTGAGACTCTCTGTGCTTCTTGGACTTGTATGTCTATTTCCTTAACCAAATTAAGGAAGTTTTCTTTAATTATTTGTTCAAATAAGTTTTCAGTTTCTTGCTTTTCCTTTTCTCCTTCTGGCACCCCTATGATTAGGATATAAGTACATTTGGACATGTCCTAGAGGCTCCTTATTCTATCCTCATTTTTTTTTAATTCTTTTTTTTTTCTTGTTGTTCTGATTGAATGCTTTTTTCTTCCTTATGTTCCAAATTGTTGATTTGATTCTTGGCTTCACCCCTTCCACTTTTGGTCCCCTATAGATTTTTCTTTATTTCACTTAATGCAAACTTGATTTTTGCCTGGGTCTTTTTTTTATGCTGTTGCAGTATTCACTGATTTCTTTAAACATCCTGATAACCAGTGTTTTGAACCCTGCATCTGATAGGTTACTTATCTCCATTTCATTTAGTTCTTTTTCTTGGAGTTTTGTTCTGTTCTTTGACTTGGGCCATATTTCATTGTCTCCTCAATTTGACAGCCTCCCTGTGTTTGTTTCTGTGTTATATTGAACTGCTTTGACTCCCTGTCTTAGTAGTGTGGACTATTCTAGAAAAGGCACCTGTAAATTGTGAGGGGTGGAGCCTTAGGTAGTCACCAGGGTGGGGCAACCTTTTTTATTGCTTTATGGCTCTGTGGAGCTGGAGAGGGCTCAGAGAGGAGACAGTGCTGCCTGGCCTTTGGAAATTTCCTGGGAGGAAGCTGTCTCCTGGCACTCGCCCTGTTGCCAGTCACTTCACTTTCTCCCTCTATGCCACTTGTCCCTTCCAGCTGTTGCCCTGGTGCTGAATCTTAGAGGGAATGTGTCTATATGAGACCTAAGTCTGTTGTGTCCCCTTGAAGAGGAGTCTTTTGAGAATTCCACGGTTATTTCCACTTTCCCAACCCCCACTGGTTTTTATAGCCAGAAGTTATAGGAATTTACCTTCCTGGCTCTGGAATCCTGAACTGGGTTTTCCAGTCTGGAGCTGGGCTCACGTTCTCCCACGGAATCCCTCCCAATTTGTATCTACTACATGTGCATTTGGAACCATCCATTCCATGGCCTCCTGATGCCATTCTGAGTCTCCACCTATCCCACCAATCTGGATGAATTGGATTCTTTAAATCGGGGGTGTCAAACTCATTTTCACTAGGGGCCACATCAGCCTTGCGGTTGCTTTCAAAGGGCCAAAATAATTTTAGGACTGTATAAATGTAACTACTCCTTAACTGTTAAGGAGTTGAAATTACACTTGGCCCTTTGAAGGCAACCATGAGGCTGATGTGGCCCCTAGTGAAAATGAGTTTGACACCCCTGCTTTAAATTCTTGGTTTTTGGATGTTTGTACAGCTCAATTTTCTGACAAATCTGGGTGATATTTGTGTTGCAGTGTAGTTGTAATTTTTGCTGTAGTTGTACACACAGGTGAAGTGTGTTTACCTATGACTCCACCTTGACCAGCAGTCTCTGATGATAGCCATTCTGACAGTTATGAGGTGTCGTCTTATTGTAGTCTTAATTTGCATTTATCTGACAATGTTATGCTGAGCATCTTTTCATATATCTGTTGGCCATTTGTATGTCCTCTTTGGAGAACTGTCTGTTCAAGTCCCCTGCTCATATTTTTAATTGAATTCGTGTATGTGTGTGTGTGTGTGTGTTGAATTATGTGTTCTTTATAAATTTTGGTTATTAACCCCTTATTGGATGTATCATCAGAAAACATGTTCTTCCATTCAGTAAGTTGTTAGTTTTCTTGATGACTTTCCTTGTTGTGTAAAAAATTTTCAGTTTGATACAGTCTCATTTGTGGGTTATACTTTTGTTTTTTTTTCCCTTGATGAAGGAGATATATCAGGAAAATATTTCATTAAAAATTATAAAAGTCATCACCTTTTTTAAAAATAGAGACTACTAGTTTTACATACATTTATTTTTTCAAAATTTATACTCTTATTTTTAGTAAACAGAATGTCTATATTTTTTAGTAATTATAAAAATCAAAGGCCACTCTCATTTTATTAGAGGCAAAACATTGTCTAGCTTTACTTCCACTAATCTATGTTCAGTGATTCAACATCACTCTATCTATAGTTGTTATAGTCATATTGTAGAAATGTAGAAGTTGTGGTTTGATGACCATTTGCCCCTTGAACATCTTAGGACATTAATAATAGACAACTACAATGAATGCAGTCTTCTTCAATGCTGTAGCATGGCCCCCCAGAGTGTAAATATGCTTGATGATCTTAAGTTGACACATTCAGTTCCGATATATTTTAATGCATTATATCTGTCTGGTGAATATAACTGTAATGTGCTCTTGAAACATTAAACATAATATCTTAAAAGGGAAAAAAGTCCCCTTTAAGGTGTTAGAGGTAATGTAATATATTACTTTTTCCACTATAGGAATAGAATTGTTTAAATAAATATAACTGTTGTATGTATATGAACTAAAGTGTAAGTGAATTCTTTAAGCAACTTTCTGAATGGTAACTGGAAATAGAAATACAGAGTCTGCTTGACCTGACATTTTTTTAAGGTACCATTTTTAGCTCTGCATTTTTAAAGAAATTGATAATATAGGATTATGGATTCATATTATTGGTAACTTGAGAAACACTTATTCTTCTTGAGGAATATTACCTGTTTTTATAATATATTACTGTAGTAAGCTAGAACAAATTGTTTAATATTTGCTAAGTGGCTGGGATAATTTTCTGAGATACCCTAGTTGAATAAAGTGATGATGATTTTAGAGACAGAAATCTGACCCAGATGACTTAATAAGATATATGATTGTATTGATTTACCTAATGCATTGCAGGGGTATATCTGGTTTCAACAGCAGTTTTAAATAAGATTCAAGAAGTATGATTAAGACCTCTTTCTCCATTTCTTGGTCCTGCTTCTTTAGTGTTGACTCTTTTCGAGTGATGCAAGGATGGTGGTCAGTAGAGCCATGACTGCAAACTTTCTCTTTCAAATTCTGATAGGTAGGAGAAAGGTCTTCATCCCATATTATCTTATAAATATTCCAGGACCAGTGCCCTTGCCTATGACCAGCTTGATTTGGAGAGTATACCTACCTTAATCAATCTAGAAGGCAGTGAGGATGGCATGTACCGATTGGTTGATGTCTAGATGGTGTGAGGCCAATGTCCCATCACTGGGATATTTGGGCTACTATTTAGAAAAAAATTAATGGATGCCAGAGTGGCAGCCAACAGGTCTTCGCTGCAGTAATGGTGCATGTTTCATTTTTGTAGCTCATGGACTCTGAGACTATTGATGGATTGAGAGGGATGCACAAAAGTTTTTATGCTTTTGGACAGTGGCATTAACTCCTCCACCTTATTTTTTAGGTCTTTTGATTCATATTAATCCACCCATACATTGTATTGGTAAAAGTGGAATGAAACATACAACTGGAGCAGAATGTAACATAATTCTTTTAGACCTCCTCTAAACCTGGGGCTGTTTGGAGAAGGGTATTTTCTCATTTCTCTATGATTAATAGTTTGAAAGGGTTTTCAAGGAAGAAAACCTTGCTCTCTGGTCTAGCTGCAATGATCTTCTTACTAAACATTTTTTAAAAATCTGGTTTTTAAAATAATTTTATTTCACCAAATATATACTTCCACTTCATTGAGCCATTTAGGAGCTTTTGGCTGTACATAACAGAAGACCAGCCTAGCAGTGACCTTAATCAAAAGGACACTTACTTACTTAATAACAATTCTAAAAGAAGGTGGTACCTATGGTGGTTTGGCCTTGCAACTGAATTATCAAAGACTCATTCTCCTTTCAATATCTTTGGTGTGTATGTTTTTTAACTGTAGGTAATAGGATTGTTTTTAGATAAGTTGGCATCAGATCCTGACATATGATTGAAA